CTTAGGCTGCTGCACGTGCTGGGCACACGGGATTAGACCTTAGGCTGCTGCACATGCTGAGCTAGTGTTACACCACTAAACTACTTGCTCAGCTCTAGCTCTGAATATTTTTGAGGCTCAGTTTGGATAGAATACAATGCTCAGGTTGCCGTGTAGCATTTAGTGAGTCTGAGAAAATATGAACAGCTGTGTAACAAACACCCCTACTGAGTATGAACCATTTTTTATCACTCTGGGAAGCTTCCTGGATCCCTTCAAGTTGAACCGCATTTCACCACCGTAGCTGAGATAATACACATTCTGATTTCTATTCCTGTTGCTTAGTTTGGTTTGCCCCAGCTGAGAGAGGCCCCTGTTCTAGCTTTGGCTTTCAAGGTGAGAAATGACAAGTGGTTGATGTTAATTAATACCAAATCACAGAGCCATTCTCGTGGCATGTGTGGTGCTGTATTGTTGAACACATCACCAATCCAATTGCTCCATGGCCTTCTAAATTCCTAACTATGTATTGCCTGTTTGTCATGTGTATGAGGAGGTCAGAGGTCAACCTCAGAGGCCTCGCTCCCTTCAGCTTCTAAGGAAGTAGCCAGTCCAGTTCACTGTGGCGTGGCCAAAATTTGTGCTGACTTCTCCCCTCTTCCTCTTTTCATTTTCCTTCTCCACACAAGTTATCACACTGTGGGATTTGAGTTCCAACTTTTAAGGATGCATGCTTCTGGCAGCTGGCCTCACGTTTTAGGGGCTGGGTACCTTGAGGCTTAATTGGTGAAATTCTCAGAGCTTTGGGTTCTCCTCAAACAGTGGGCTTGTCCAGGTCTTTAGGTATTGAAGCCTGGCATTAGTAAGCAGCAAAAACAGCTTTGCAGCCAGGGTCAGCTGGCCCTGCCTATCCCACTGTGTCTTGTGACGAAGTCTTGAGTGGTCAGAAAGGCACAACAGAGGTGAGGTGGGATGGGCTTTTCTGGGGTTACATAACTCAATCCCACCATTTGCTACTTGGGTGGTTTGGAATTCGATCTCAACTTCTCCACACACACAAAATAGTAATAATAAAACCTGACTTAGGGGCTTTTTGTAAAGATCAAATGAATTAGGATTTGGATGTGCTCAGAGTAAAATGCTGAATGCACAGTAATGTGGGTTGTTGTGGCCATTCCCCAAACATTCTCCTTTTTAAACTGAGTATTAATGTTTATATCAGCTTTAACCTTATTTCACATGAACTGAGGGATGGAGAAAATGTGGTACGTAGTCCCCAAACCTCTGTTCCCCCAGCCTGCCCATTCCCACCTCCTGATAGTCTGCTCTCCTTCCCCTGTCACCCCAGCTGACCTCTTCAGCCCCACACTCTTGTCGTCCACCTCCAACCCGGACCTCTTCACAGTCCTCACCAGCAGCCTCTTGCCTGAGATGAAGTCTGCGTGCTCTGGTGGCTCTCCTCGCATGGGTTGTACTGCTGGACTCCAAGCTCAGTCCCTGAGCTCTCGGTCCTCCCATCGGGTCCCTCCTACAGGCGCACTCCGTGTCCCTGCATCACCTGTCCCTCACACTCTTTCTTTCCTGTACTAGGGTAGTCACCTTCTTAGACAAAGCTCTTCCAAGTGACTCCGAGAATAAGGAGTGGCCTAGTCCACTACGTCATCACACCAGCGTTCTCGGTTGAGGACTTGACTCCTGTGAGCACAGCCGTTGTGGGTCCTTGGTTTGGCACCTTCCTATTTCACAGTGCCTGACTCTTCATAGGTTAACTCAACGAAGGGGTGAAATGACCTTGTTCAATGACATCACATTTCCTGCTAGTGTGTGGAGCAGGGATTCCATGTTGTGAAGGTACTGGCCAGGGAAACTGGTGACTGGTAGCTCCCTTTGGAACCATCTCGAGAGATTTGCTGTAGAAAGAAAATCTCCTAGTTTAGAAAGAAACTAGAAACTTTTAAATAATGCTATTTGCAGTACACCAGCTCAAAAGACTGTTAGGATCTGCCTCTTATTTACTCCTGAACTGAATGGGCATCTCAAGCAGTCTGGGCTCGGTTTCAGACCAGAGGCAGAGGGAAGGGTGTCGAAATGCTAATCTCTCTGACTTTCAACTGGATTCAATTAGAGAATTTTTTTCTACTCCGCATCTGTGAGGATAAATTTCAGATAAATGCTAGTGCATATACAAGTGTGTATCGTGTAGCAAGTCCTTAAGATGTAGTTGGCCACGTTGGCACCAGTTCTTTAGGTGGAGGTTGCTTGTTCTTTTCCCCACAGCCCAGACCTGAAATAATCACATAGAAACTGTATTAATTAAAACACTGTTTGGCCAATAGCTTAAGCATATTTCTAGCCAGCTCTTATATCTTAAATTAACCAATTTCCATTATTCTATACTTTACCACGAGGCTTGTGGCTTATTGGCAAGGTTCTGGCGGGTGGGCAGGTGTCTGGAGGCTATGTGGCATCTCCCCTGCTTCATTACTCTCCTCCCTACATCTCTGTTCCGATATCCTGCCTGGCTTTACTCTGTTAAGCCATTGACTGAAAGCAGCTTCTTTATTAATCAATGGCAATAAAGCATATTTACAGCATACAGAGCGGGAATCCCACATCAATGTACGGGCTCATTCAACATCTCAAGACAGCTCAACAGAGCAGAGGTGTGTGTGTGTGTGTGTTCGTTCAAATGGAGAGGCTAGAGGAGCACATTGGGTGACTTCTTCCACTTTATTTACTTGAAACAAAGTCTCCCAGTGAATGGGATGCTCGCTATCTGGGCTAGGCAGGCTGGCCAGCAAGCCTCGGGGACATGCTTGCTTCTGCTATACCAGTCATTTCATTGCTACCTGGTTACCTGAGAGCAAAGAAGTCACACGCCTCCTTTGAGATGTCCACACACATTTTCATAGTCGTTTCGTCTGTAAGGTTCCAAACAGGAAACAACTGCAGTGCTCACCGACAAGCAAATACACAACTGAAGTGTACACAACATAAAATGGAAGAGTGATGGGCAGGAGAAGATAACAGTGACTGGCATGTGCTTGTAACAAGGATAAGTCTCAAAATAGCACTAATGGAAATAGGGAAGGCACAATGCATACTGTACAGTCCTACTGTAAGTCTATAGTGAGTGGCAACGATCATGTCCTTGGTGACCTTGGGATGGGGCTGGAGGGAGGGATAGACTGCAGAAGCATGTGGGGTAATTTCAGGGTGCTGTTGAAACTGTTTTGTGGACTGATATTCTCACAAGAATGTGTAGCTATCAAATCTGTATGCTTTTAATGAATCCTAAATTATTCCTCAATAATGGCGATAAGGAAAAACTTTAAGATAAAACTAATAATGAAAGTTATGACATGCGTAGAAGCTATTCCTCTCTGCGTAAGTTATATTTCTATCCCTCCTTCTTCATTGATGAACATATTGGTGGCGCAATGGACAGTCAACTGGCATGGAAATGCACTGTGTGGGCAAACATTCCTGCATCCCCTACACATGACACACTATATGAGGGAAGCAGATAGCCGAAATACGTGTGTTAAAGCCCTAGAACAATCACTGAAAATAATGTAGTGTGTGTCGCTTAATGACCCAGCTTAGCCTGTCTTATGGGGACCCTGTGATGACACTGTGGAGGGGTCCAGCTCACTGTGGGTGGGGTCACCCCTTTTAGCATATAGTCCAGTGTCCTATAGGAAAGCTGACTGACAGAAGCAGGAGAGAGCCAGTGTGCAGCTTCCTCCACGGTTTTTCTGCTCTGGGTTCCTGATTTAAATTCCTGCTCTGACTCACCCGGTGATTGACTGTTATCTGGAAGTGTGAACCAAATAAACCCTTTCATCCCCAAGTTACCTTTGGTCATGGTGTTTATCTCAGCAAACCAGTATATATTTAAAAGTTAACTGTGGATCTCTGGTTTCTCTTCAGAGCATATAAATATTTTTCCCTTTATAAGTTACTGATGGGATACAATGGGTGGAATTAAATAAGACAGGAATAGGGGGAGTTGAACCAAAAGTGTAGGGGTAAACAGCAAGTAGTTTCAGAGTAAGAGTTTTAAACTAATTTTGTTGAGAGTTCCAAAATGGCTACCTAAACAAGACCCAAACAATGTAACACCAGTCAGCATCCCAAAGCAGACAGGGGAAATAGCACAGGATGCCACGTGAGCACACTTCAGTGTATTAGCCTGGAAATTTCCAGTAAGTTTTAGACCCTGACAAGATGGTTCCTCACTTAGTGTGTTGGCCACCTTGACATTAATGCTCATGCCTAGGACCTTTCCTGTGCCCTAGAGTTTGGCTGACTATAGAGAGAGTTTAGAAAAATCTTTACACCAAACATTAGTTATGCAATAATGTGTTCAAAGAAACTGAAACGAGGCCACACTAAAGGTGGTCTAAGAAGAGAGAAAAAGAAGACCTGTCCCTCTTCAACTATGGCATTTGGAAATACAGAAAGAAAATAAGAACAGAGGAGGTGAAAGGGCACACAAGGGGCACCAAAAAACATGACATCATACAGAAGTCACAGCCACAGATGGCTGAAAAATAAAGGAAGCTGGCAGAAGCATCATGAAGAGGGATGAGCTTCCAGCTACTGCTGTAGCTGTAGCCGTTCCCATCTCTGGGGATCTATTCCGGTACCCAGTGGATGCCTAGAGCCATGGATGATATCAAACTCTACATACACTGTTTTCCATACACACCTATAGTAAATTTATATAATTTATAAAATTAGGCAATGTAAGAAATTAGCCATAATAACTAATAACAAAATAGTATAATTGCAACTATATATTGTGGATTTGTTCTGTGGATGTGATCCTTCTCTCTTTCAAAATCTCTGATCTGAACAAAATGGGTCTTGTTGGCTTAAAATCAGGGAACTGACAAGTCTGCCTTCCTTTGGAAGGCTCTAAGGAGCATCCATTTCCTTGACCTTTTAAAAAGCTTCTCGGGCCTGCCTCATTGGCTTGTCTTGCCCTCTCCTTCCATCTGCAAAGTCAGCAATGTCCACCTGTTTCCTCTTCTCCGTCCCTTCCCTCTCATACATACACTTGTGTTCCCATCGGCCCGGTTGCATCCCCTAGGACACTAATTTAATCACCTCTCTCTAGCCCCTCTTGTCACGTGAGCTGGCACATGCACAGGCTCCAGAGGTAGGAACATGCCCTTCTTTGGGCCTGTTATTCCACTTACCATACAATCCATTGCAGAATTTCCAGTAGAGGGGGACTTTAAAAAAATGACAAATTCACAAGGTGTGCAAAACTTTTTGCCTAGTAGGTAGAAGAAAATAATGTCGAACACGACCCTATATGTAGACAGGGAGGAAGCTAGAGAAGCATGGACCAGAGGCAGAGGCCAACATTACTGATGAGGCTTAGGAATTGACTGCAGAAAGGAATTTGGGCAGAAAGTGAAGGAGAGCATTCACAGGGGGGAGAAGGATGTGGTGGAGTGGTGGTTACAAACTGAGAGGCAGTGAAGGGTGACAGTTGTGAAGGGGATCTTGGGGCTCCTGCATGCCTCTCCCCTACATGGCTTTGACATGCTGCTGCGCCCACCACGTACATATCTCTACTTTGTCTCACAGGCATGCAGCTTTCATCCTGGATGAAAACATCTTCCAGGGGAGGGAGCTCATCAACAGTCGCTCGCTACAGGCTCTGATGGCGGGTCTGAAAGCCTACAGTACCTGGGAGACCATCAGCTGCCTACAGGACTGTCGCGAATGCACCGGAGGCATGGTGAGTCCTGAAGCTGAGCAGCCTATGGGCGCCACAGTCACCAGATCTGCAGGACTCTGCATAGCACAGCATGTAGCGGGGAATAGAATGTGTCAGGAATCTGACAAGTCTTTGAATCTGAAGGAAAGTGTCACTGTCCCCAGACTCTGGGGACTTAATATTAGCTGTGACCTGTGCTTATTCTCTCATATGGTGTGGCAAGAACTGGTGTGGACCTCATTGGTAAAAGGCTTGGCATGCAGTGGTTGGCCACGAAGATCACTGGTGAATGTCACTGAACTTGAAGGTTGTGGTTGACAGGATAGGAAATGGCCACCAAAGATGCAGATGCTCAAAACTCTGCTCCGTTAGTCCCCTGGGGAGAACACAGGAAATGACTCCAAGAAGGAAGAATGGTGACTGCTGACACTGGACTACACTTGTGCCAGGTCCTCCAAGGTGGCCAGGGCAGTGGCTTGTTATGGCTTCCCTGAGGGACCTGACAAGTCAGATGGCTGGTTCCCACCAGAAGCCATGGGAGTTGGTTGTCCCTTCAGATAGGAGGATGACGGCAGCTGGGAACTGAACTGTGGGATTCTAGAGTAAGGCCGGGTGAGCAGGTGGCAGGTGAGGTCTGTAGGGATCCCTCAGGCAGGGGCTGCTCACAAGGGGTGATCAGGACACAGATGGAATTCTACACTGGCTTAGATGGTGTCCTTCTGAGAGATGCCTGAACCCCACAGTCTGCTCACCCATCTATGATCGTCTGGTCACCATCTAGTTCCCTCCCTGACTCATTCTCTCTACCGATGTTTGGATGTGATTTTTGTTTCCACTAAAGCTCATGCTGGGCCTTGGCTCCCTGTCGGATAGATATGGAGTGATGGGCTGTTAGGAACACTTGGGATCATGAAGGTTCACATGAGTAAATGAATATTTTTTTCTTGATATATGGAATGATTAGTTCTAGAAGATGGGAGGGAGGTACAGATGGAAGTTATGAGCTCCACATCACGGCTTGGTCTTTCTGGTTACTGACCCCCATTCTGAAGCTGTCTGAGAGCCCACTTAGGAGATATCTCATGAAGACAAAGTATGCCTTCAATGACCAGAAAATTTCACAGAATTTAGGATCTCTGTGTCAGGAACCGGAGTCAAAGACCAAATATTAGAACCAAGGGTATTTCCAGCACCCTACCACTTGGGAAATCACACAGGTTTATGGAGACCTGAGCCATGAGGTGGGGGTAGAAAACCAACATATGCCTTATTATGCCTTATTACACAGGAGCTCTGGGCCTGGACCAACTAAAATCGTGTTTCTTACTGTATCAGAGGCATTGGCCACCCACACACAGGATGAAGGTGGGATGTGGCATAACCGAGGACACCAGATTAGTTATGAGTCTGAATGAGGAGGCAGAGGAGGAAAGAATTGATGAGAGGAAACTGGAATTAGGCTGGAGATGAGGACCAATGGGTCCTGGGCATTGCTGTCTTTGGAGGCTCTCCAGGGCACCCACACACAGCACACTGTGTCCACAGAAGCAAAGCCTCAGCATGTGGCCTGGAATGCAGCTGACCCTCAGCAGTGTCCACTGGTCTCTCTGGTAGCTTCTTTGTGGAGGAGAACACTGGACAGTGAGAGCTGGGGACAAGTTCTTCATCAGCTCCCTCTAGCCTAAGGCTGAGAAGGGTGTACAGCGTGCAGAGAGTGAATGTCCTGAGTACCCATTCTTCTCCTTAGTAGGACTTGAGATTAATCCAGAAACCTTGCCCCCTTCCATCTTTTTGTGTATTTTTATTATTTTACTTTAGATACTTAAACATTTTGGAGTGTGTGTTCATGGGGTGTGTGTGTGCTTGTGTGTGCACAGAGAGGCTAGTGGTTGATGCTGCTCTCTTCCTCAGTCTCAACCCTTGCCTTTTGTTCGCTAATAAAATTCATGCCTGGACCATGTTGTTTATGGCTGGAGGCCTTGGCTGCTCACTCCCACCCTTGTCATCCTTCATCTCCCTGCCGCCGCTCTTCACGCCTCCTCTTCCCAACAAGTCCCTTTCCTGCAGGTAGATCTTTCTGTTTTGTGACCCACTGCCCTTCACCAAGGCCACCTCTGTAGCTGTGTTTGTAGACCTATCCTCTGGAATCTGGTGGATCCACAACTGAAGGCAACAATTTCTCCTTCCCCACACCCATCCACAGCCCTTAGTTCCCCAAGGAAAGGCAGGGCCTTCTGAGTCCTTCTCCATCCATGGATGACTGTTGAAGATTCCAGTTGTGTGCAGACCCAAGGTAGGTGATTTTATCTGCTATGTGCTCATGAATTCTGTGTCACACTCAGAATATAGTGAGTCTTTTTTTCCAGCCCTTCTATCATTTGGTTCTTATAATCTTTTTTTTTTTAAAAAACTGCCTTTCCTGGATATTCCCTGAGACTGGATAAATGATATAAATGTTTTGTTTAGGGCTGAGCTCACCAGTCATGGCTAGAGCAACCGTGAGTCTCTCTGTTCACTGCAAGAGAAGCTTCTCTAATGCAGGCTTAGAGTAGCATATATCTATGGGTATAAACATAAATATTTAGAAAGCAATATTATGTGATGTCAAATTATGAAAATAACAGTAGTGAGTCTTTCCCCCAACTCCAGGGCCTATGACGTCCCTAACCATGAGTTTTTTTTAACAGGTTTATAGTATACCATACAAGGCGTGAATTCTCTTCTGTGACCTTAAATCTATTCAGGGCTCTGCCATTTACCCACCACAATAGCCATGCCACTATTGTACTAGGGATTGCATTTTGCCTGGCAGGTTGGTATGATGGGTTGAAGGATTCCCATCCGTGTAGGGCTGTTTGTCACTTTTCTCCTCTAGCATCTTACATGGCCCCTCCCCGCAGGCAGTGGGCAGGCGAGTCACAGAAAGGGGACTTCCAGTTCCAGCTTCATTTCTCTCCATCCTGCTACCAGGGTATGATCGCTGACTTAGCTAGACAGGCTGGCCAGCGAGCTCCGGGATTCATCCCTCCAGTGCTGGGATTAGAGGTGCCCACACACAGCTCTCTGCATGGGTGCTGGGGCTCTGGACTCAGCCTCTCATTCCTGTACCACAGACACTTTACTGACTGGGGCATCGTTACTTTTTATGGAGAAAACACCAGTCCTGGACTTCCGTTATTCATAGTCAAAGCAAAAGCGCCCGTCGGCAGCTCATTGTGGGGAAGGACAAATTTGATGTCATGACTAGTATGAGGGCAGGAAACTTGAGGAGAAGAGGGAAAGTCATACAATGTGCCAGGATTTGAAACTATCTGGCACTAATCTTTGCCTTGTCCCTCACCGATGAGAAGTTCTTCTAAGCCATGAAGCCCCCCCACACCCACGCCCCGCACCTCTTAACTGTGGCTTTCCTATTTGTCACCTAATGTGAGTGTCACCTAGGGAGAGCAGCTTATTTCCTCAGTGAAGCCATTGTACAGCCACATAGGTTAGGTTACCTTTCCTAATTACAAGAGCAATTCATACCCACTATAGAAGCTTTTGAAAATATAGAAAAACACAGAGAAGAAAGTAACTGTTCACTCCACCTATGATTCCAAGCTGTGCCTGGTTTCTGAGCCTCATTATTTATATGCACTGTTTTATGTCCGCCCCTCTCGTCCATGAGTCCATGGGGCTTCTGATCTCACTTGTGCAGTAGTTTTCATGAGTGGTACCATTCATGATGTAGGCGTAACATAATTCAACTAACCAACCTCTAGGTATGTAAAAATTTTCATGATTATAAAAATATTCTAGCACCTAACTTTGGTGGTGGTTTTTGTGCATATTCTATGTCCTTGGAATCCTATATTTAAACAAAACTGACACTGTGGACAAAGGGTGTGCTTATTTCTGCTCCCAGTGGCAGTCAAACACTGTGTGTCTAGAACAGTGGCTTTCAAGTTCTCTTGGTCGCGACTCCAAATAAAAGGTACATTTTTCATTAAAATCCAAAAATTACACACACACCCACGTAATAACATTGATTTTCCTATCCTGGTGTGTTCTAGTAATTTCTTTTTGTTTTGAGAAGAACAGGTCACCATGCATTCCCTTGACTCAGGACCTGCTGGTGCATTACAGCTTGCCATCTGTAAAACACAGTCAGCCTCACGGATCAACCCTAGACTCTTACTCTGGGCAGGTGGGGCCTTGCCACAGTGTGTGACCCCTAAGCTACAATGTTGGGGATACATTGTCTAGCCCAGGCTGTGGGATACCTTCTGTGACTAGGTGGTTTCTACTTTTACCTGTTGGTATTTAAGATTTTGTTTTTTAAAGGTGAGGAAGAATAAACACCCCTAATTATCTCCTGAGAACCAACATAATATAGTAACCATGTTTTTCCTACCTGCCTGCCTGAGAGTTTCCCCATCTCAGTACGGCTGCTCTTGAATATCCCTGTGAGAGTCTTGTGTTCCTGAGACTCCTTTTGTCTACAAATGGATATTTCCGTAACACGCAATGGCTGACTTTAATATCGTAACTACTCTGTGTTGGGAAATATCGAGAAGATCTTCGGCGGTTGTTTTTATAGTGGTTTGTCAGTTCTTGCATTTGTACGGGGGGAGGCTCCATCTTGGAAAAATAATATTTTGCTGCTTAAAGAATCTTCTTCGGTCTTGGAGATGTAACTCAGAGGTAGAACACTTGGCCTCCAATCGCAAGGCCCTGAGTTCAAGCCCTAGAACTGCCAGATGAACCACACCAACATCTCGATGATGTTGACAAATGCAGGCGAACAGAAGAGAGACTCTCAAGTGACGCCATTTCTAATTCTTTGCTTCCGGGCTCTCATTTCTCTGACGAGTTCTGCCCTTGTAGCACTGCTGGTCCTTTTTTCTGTGCAAAGCCCAGGATTCACGGCTTTCATACAAAGAAGGAAAATGTTTCTCTGGTCTATTATAAAGTGGCCCTTGTCATTTGGAATTGTCATAGTTCAAGTTCATGTGAACATATCACCACTCATGACTAAGGAT